GCATCAAACAAGGCTAATTTTATGTCGCTCTAATTTATCTCGTTTCTAGTTGTAATTAGCATTATTTCGTTCACTTATCGTTTTATTTGAAATTATCCTAATTAAAAGCATACTGTAAGTCCAAGGTCACTCGTGTACCATTCTATGCCTATTTGGCATAAATCAGTCAAAGGTTTTGAAACCTACTGTAATGGTCTGGGTAGGGGTTTTTGAAACCTACTGTAGAGGTTTCGAAACCTTTACCTGAAATTATATTATGGAAAAAAGGCTTCGAAAACAACCTTATGGGGTTTTAACCTCTTCTATAACTTTAATTTTTTTACTCATTTAAACGCTTCCAAAACCTCACAAAACTATTTCAACATTTCCAATTGACCAACATAAGTTTATACATGATAAATGGATCATAAAAGGGCTTTAAACGAGTTAAGTAACACCAAATGCTAAAATATACTATGGAAATTTACTTAACATACTCAAACTCAACTCTCAAGTTATCTTGCAATTCTAATGAACCACTAATGGTATGAAGGAGTTGTGAGGGTGTTATCTGGCTTTCTTGGCTGTTAATACTTTTCTCGAATCAACTAAGAATCACCTTTTCTTCATCTCTAGCCTTGAAACTCTCTTTTATCTCTTTAACTAAATTGAACAAGGAAAAAAATGGATTACTACCTAACTAGAGCTTGGATTAAGCTCAAATACAACTCTTATAACTCAAATCTACCTAAAAACAAGCTTAAAACACTTGATTCATTTCAACTCCCAAAACCTTATTTTATCAAACCATGCCCAAAACCTAAAATTTAAGGCTTGAATTGAAACTTAAGGGATGAGGATTAAGACTCTTACCTTGGTTAACTCTAGGTTGGCTTGGAATCTCGAAAGCTCTCACATTTTCTTGCTCTTGGGAATGAAGAAGAAGAGAGAAAATAAGAGGAAAGTAGAAGATATTTTTGCGGGATTTGGTTCACGTGAAAAACTGGTGACTTAAGAAACCTTAAAATCGGTTATGGGTAAACTAAACTTTTGGTCCCTAACCTTTTCTCTCACTTTTAAAAACACCACTTTCCTTTAACTATTGGGTCAACCCAAGCCCAACTTTTAAACTGGTCCAAACTATCTAAAGAGGTCTAACTCACTTAACTTACGGGTTTCAGGTTGACTCGAACTACTGACCCGAAATTCGGGGCATTACAACTATCCCCTCCTACAAGAAATTTCATCCTCAAAATTTCCCTAGAGAAAGGTTTCACTCTAAAACTCCATTGGGCATCTACGACAGATCTTGACTACTAGAACATCTAACTCTAAGGGATGGAAACTCGAACCTTTATCTTAAGATCATCGACTAAAACTTTCTCTCTAGAACTAGGTTATAAAGGGTACAAGAATCCTTATGACACTTCACAACTCACTACTAACACTAAACCTTGTACTAAATTCGACCTTTATGCTTCTGCTGCGCAACTCTAATTTAATACTTCTCTACGCTATCCAAATGTTTTTGTCAACTTCATGGTCTTTCCACAAAACCTTCACTAGAGGAATCCTTTTGTGCCTTAATGGCCGACATGATCCTTAAACACCTGGGTTTCTCACTAAACATCATTATCTTAGTCTCGACTTCCTTCTTAAGCTTAAACCATTGAGCTTACACCTTAAACTCACATCACTAGAATCACTATCTAGGGAGGTTCTACTCTCATGCATATCTTTTCTACTATAGCCTGAGCTCTCTACTATTTCATATGCATAAGTACGACATAAGTACGACATAACTCTATATAGCATGTATACTTATAAACTCTTTACCGAAACTAACTGACTCTAACCCGCGGGTCCTAAGGACTTCTAAACCTTTGTTCTAAGCTAGTCTACTGAGGCTGGTTACTGAGATTTCTACATTGGTTAACCCCTCAACTAGCCCACTCCTTGAGTGTCGGACCTTGCGCCTAAGCTAGTCAGCTTAAAGTTCCTTGCGCACTCCCTAAGGATATATCCGAACTGAATCTATACTTTTGACTCCGCTGGCTTTTCTAAAGGAACTCATGTGAACGAATTGTTTCCCGAGCATCAAAGAAAACTAGTTTTATGTCACCGTAATTTATCTCGTTTCTATTTGTAATTAACATTATTTTGTTATCACTTATCATTTTATTAGAAATTATCCCAATTAAAAGCATACTATAAGTTCATGGCCATCTGTGTACCATTATAGGCCTATTTGGCCAAAATCAGTCGAAGGTTTTGAAACCTACTATAGTTGTCCCTGAAATTACATTCTGGACAAAAGGTTTCGAAACCAGCCATAAGGGGTTCCAAAACCCCTTTTGTAACTTCAAATTTTTACTCGTTTAAACACTTCCAAACCCTCACAAAACCATTCCAACATTTCCAATTGACCAACATAAGTTTATACATGATAAATGGATCATAAAAGGGTTTTAAACAAGTTAAATAACACCAAATGATAAAATATACCATGTAAATTTACTTAACATACTCAAACTCAACTCTTAAGCTATCTTGCAATTCTAATGACCCACTAAGGGTATGAAGGAGTTGTGAGTGTGTTACATGGCTTTCTTGCTGCTAATAATTCTCTCGAATCAACTAAGAATCACATTTCCTTCATCTCTAGCCTTGAAACTCTCTTTCACCTCATTAACTAAACTGAATAAGGAAAACAATGGATTACTACCCAACTAGAGGTTGGATTAAGCTCAAACACAACTCCTATAACTCAAATCTACCCATAAACAAGCTTAAAACACTTGATTCCTTTCAACTCCCAAAAACCCATTTTCTCATACCTTACTCAAAACCTAAAATCTAGGGCTTGAATTGAAGCTTAAAGGATGATGATTAAGACTCCTACCTTGGTTAACTTTATTTTGGCTTGGAATCTCAAAAGCTCTCACATTTTCTTACTCTTGGGAAGGAAGAAGAAGAGAGGAAATAAGAGGAAAGTAGAAGATATTTTTGGGGGATTTGGTTCACGTGAAAAACAGGTGACTTAATGGGTTTTTAACCTTAAAACCGGTTATGGGTAAACTAAACTTTTGGTCCCTCAAATTTTAACTCACTTTTAAAAAACCAATTTCCTTTAACTATTGGGCCAATCCAAGCCCAATACCCTTTTGAACTGGTCTAAACTATCTAAGGAGGTCTAACTCGTTTAACTTACAGGTTGACGCAAACTATAACCTGAAATTTGGGGCATTACAACTCGAATAACTTGAAATTAAAAAAAAAATTAATTTTTGAGTCGGTTTGACTTTTACTCACCCCTGACAAGGGTGTGATTAGTGTATATTGATTAGTGTATATTCCACGAGTAAAATTTAGAGACAAACTATTTTTATTTTTATTTAGTTTAAACATTACACCCATCTTTCTCTTTTCTAATAATTAGAACAAGAAGTGCCGAAATAGATAAGTGGAAAAGTTCAAAAATCAAACCTTGTTTAAAAAGAAATATAAAAAACAATCGAATAATAATCGGACAAAAAAAATAAATAAAAGGTGGAGAAGTAATTACACAAGGAAAATGACCGTAAGCCGCAAGGAAAGGGAAGAATAGATTACGGAAACTTTTGAGTTAGGCAGCCTAATTCAACTCGGACAGCCACGAAGCTAAACTAAATATATAAGGATAAAGTATATAAATGATCTCCGATTATTGGGTATTACTTTAATAAGTTCATCGACTATTAAAAGTTAAAAAATAATCATTTGACTATAAAGTATTATTTTGTTTAGTCACTCGACTATTAAAAGTTACAAAATGATCATCCGACTATTTATTGTGTTTCAAACTCGTCTTTTTCTGTTAAAAGTAAACGGTATTTAGAGTTGAACGTTAACTTATTTAATATAATAAATATGATCCTAAAATTTCAAATGACTATCATTATAATATATCCGCATCTTAAATATGTTATTTTTGAAATTGGTCGTAAGAAATGGCAATAAACTTCTTCTGCGAACATTATAATTAAAAGTATAAGTCTCTTTCTATTGACCAAATTATTTTTCATGAAACAATCAATGAAATTTTTTTCTTAATCCATTTTTTTCACGAAATAAACAATTGTAGATTAAAATTTCAAAATCATCTTTGGTGAATTATTTTAATTCAATATCATTTGATAAAAATAAAATTAGACTTAAATCATTGAATAAAGGAAAATTCCTTATAAAAAATGCTTAAAAATCAATTCTGAAAAATTCTAAAATGTAAGACAAAAATAAAAGGTCAATCAATCACAATTTTGATTTTTTCTTAGTTTTAGAATTAAGAATAATTCTATTTTTATTTGAATTTTTGTTTTTTTATTTGATTTTACATTTACCATTAAAAGTTGACTAATTATTCAAAACAATACGATCACGCTATCAAACGAGCAACCAAAAGAAATATTTAACTTGCACAAAAGTACAAAACATGTGGAAGGAAACATTAATGACGTCATTCCAAATAAAAAAACATTTCGTTAATATTAAATTTCAAGACATGAACTCATATATTTAATTAGGGTAAACTTACGTTGAGTATATTCACTATAACTTTTCTTCTATTTTGGTCACTTAACTATTTTATTTCAAAATTATATTTAACGCTATTTTTTATTTTAGTCATCCACCGTTAAAATATTAGCGGTGATACTGATGTATCACATAAAATAATGTCACATTATTATTGAATTTTTTAAAATATCATATCAGTAATTTTGTTAATATTTTAACGACATATGACCAAAATAAAACCAAAATGTAACATTAGATATGATTTCAACAAAAAAAAAATAGTCGAGTGACTAAAATGAAACAAAAGTGATAGATTGGGTACTAAACTTATAGTTTACCCATTAATTAATTATATAATAATCTAATGAATTGGAAATATTTAAAAATTAACAAGTATAAATATTTATATTATTCTATATACTGAAAATAATTATTGATCTACTTATAAATACCCTTTTCCTCTCCACTTCATTTTCTGCTACTGTTCCATTCCTCTGTCCTTTTTCCCTGTTTCATCTACAAATTACTTCGATCTAAATAAAATATAATCTGAATCGGATTTGATTTTCATGGCGGAGGAAGAATTCCAAGAGTCCGAGGCTTTGTTTTCCGACCAAAACAGCAACCATTACGGCACACTTGACGAGGATGCTGCTGCTGTTAAGGATGATGGTTTCACCAAAAACGGCCGTGTTTCACGTAACTACAATTCCAACAAGAAGGTGGCCCCCAGCTCGCTTCCTGTAAACATTCCACGTCATCACGGCGGCGCTGCTTTCCATTGCGGCGGCGAAGCTGTGGAGTTCGAGGAATACGACGACGGGGAAATGGAGCCTCCCCATGCGGTTATAGCGAGGAGAATCGCAAGGAAAATGGCGTTTTCCGTTTGTACAGGCAATGGAAGGACGCTTAAAGGAAGGGATTTGAGTAAAGTTCGAAACTCAGTTCTACGAATGACAGGATTTTTGGAAGCCTAAACTCTTAGTATTCATTTCAGAAATGAAATTACAAAAGAAGAAGAAAGAGATCGATTTCCTTTTGTTATGATCTAGGTCCTTTCATGTTTTTCTACCTTGGGATTCTTAATTTATCCATTGTTACAGAAAAAGAAGGAAAAAATGGAATCAATGAACAATTAATAAAATGTCTTTGCTTAATTCTCTGGGTTTCGTCTTTAGTTTCCGTGCAACGCTAAAGTTTCTTAGCTTTGACATTTTGTTTTAGGTAAACAGTGAGGAGGCGGTGCCTCCTCGCCGGAAAAAACGACACCGGTGTCAGATATTTTTGTTTTGACATTGAAGATTTCCCCAAGGAGAACAGCTAGTTTTTTGTGTGGTGAGAGAGAGAAAGACACTTTTTTTTTTACAAGGGACATAAGTGGGTTCAAGGTTTTAATGGGAGAAAAAGATTGTTGTTTTCATTAAAAAACAAAAACAACTAGTTTTCTTTTTAGCTTCTCGTTATTAAAGGCAGCCAGTTAGCTACCTGTTTTTAGACAATCTACTCTGCCTTTTTTGTACCAGATTTGTGCTTGTTATCCTAGGATAAATTTCAGATTTGAAAGTATAAATTTAAAATCCTATATCATCTAAATTCTTTTTTTAAAACAGTATGTCATATAAATTCATTGTTAGCATATTGGGTCTTAATTGTTATATATCAAGTATATCCATATTATATTTTTTATTAATTTTGGTGATTATAAAATAATATTTATTTAAAATTTTGCTAATCAATGGATATGGATGCACACATTCTGCATACATTGTTGTTGCTCGAACAGTCGAACCCGAGGCATCTAAGAAGAATAACAATCTTTTTAACCACTAAAATTGTTTGATGGATTCTATATGTAAAACATTTTTTTTGAATAATATGTGGTGATTACAAGATAGTATATATTTATAATTTTCTTAACTAATTGATAACGTACTCATCTTATAAACTCAACTAATTAAATCCATAACTTTTAGGGAGAATATTTAATTTTACCACTAACCAAATGTCATGTTTTAATTATTTTTTAAACGATATGGAGAGGCTGTTGGGAGGATGCTTAGGCACAATAATTGGGACATGTGATTTCCAAGACAGAAAGCATAGTTTAGACGTCTTGTTTAAGTTAATGATTAGTGTTAAGCACATTCCCCACCCACCCGAAATGTATAACGAAAAACGTAAGAATTAGGCACATTGATGAGAGAGTAAAACAAATGGTCTATTGGAATCTCCAAAAGAAGACCGGAATTTTGGGATAAAATCGAACCTTTGCAGCAATTTTGGGTAGGAAAAAGAAAAGGGTGGCGTTATTAATATAGATGAAACCTTTTATCGCATTCATGAGGAATAACGATAAAGCTTAAGGCTACATTTGTTTTCTGCCAAGTTTGAATATTTCTGTTAAAGTTTCCCAATTTCCAAGACCTTTTTTATATAAGAGTTACAAATTTACTGCTTTTCCCACTCACTTTCATGAATATTCACGAAAGGTTATTTACTGCGCCAATAACTTCAAATTTTGATATTTTAGTCTTGCAGTTTAACAGGGTATATTATAATTTAAGCTTGTATCTTTATTATCTCTGTTATTATAAAATCAGTGACTTAATTAGTGTCACATATTAACTAAGTTAGAAAAAAAAGATTAAAGGATAATTTATACCATTGGTCGTTAAATACTGATCGAGTTTTCTTTTCATTACTAAACTGTAAAGATGTGACAGTTTTTTTTACCATTTTACTAAAAGTCCTAACCTTTCTCTTACCGTTGCTTGATCGTAAGTCCTGACATTACTGAAACTAAGACATTTTAATTTTTTTTCTATATTTTTAGGCTTTTTTTTAAATCCACTCAAAATGGATAAAGATCAAGTCAAAGATCATATTCATCCTATCATCTTTAGTGACTATCTTATTAGATATTTGTTCTTCTCTTTAGAAGAATGATTTTCACCATTTAAATTTGAAAAAAAAAAACTTTTATCTTTATAGTAGACTAAATTTATCATTTTTGTTCCTATCGTATTTTTGCATTAATTTAGCCCTTGAAGTTGTTCAATTACATCATTTTATAACCTACCTCTAACTTAAAACCCTAAATTATAAAGTCTAAACCCTAAACCCTATTAACTCTAAACACTAACTTAGGGTCTATAATTTAGAGTTTTAAGTTAGGTGAAGGGTATAGATTGTTGCAATTAACAACTTTTAAGGGCTAAATTGATACGAAAATACAATAGGGACGAAAGTGATAAATTAGATATAATATAAGGGTAAATATGACCCTTAAACCTTGAATTTTCAAACGAATACCCCAACCCATTTTGAATTAAAATTTTGTAAGTTTAAAAAAAATCTAAATAGATATAATAGTAAAGGAAAATGATGCGTTTTTTTTGTGCCTAAAGTGACAAAGAAAATGATGTTAGAGAACAATAATTTTAACAAGAGAAAATAACCTCAGTGACCGAAAATGCCTATAATATACGAATTTAACCAATTTTTTTTGGATTTGCCAAAATGACCAACAAATTCGCAACCCAGTTTCCAATTTCGCAACGCGAATATGTAAATCGCATTGTGATTTTCCAAATTCACAACGCGAATATGTAAATCGCAACACATAAGTCAAATTCGCAACGCGATAGTCAAATTCGTAACACAAAAATAAAATTCGCAACTCAAATTTGTAAATCGCAACATAGAAGTCAAATTCGCAACGCGATAGTCACATTCGTAACGCGATAGTCAAATTTGCAACGCGAAAGTCAAATGTTTTTACGCAAAACACAATATTAATTTCACAACACAAATGTAAACAGTATTATCGCAAATCATATCTAACCTAAAACCCTAAATCACAACTCAGTCCCATCTCCATCTCTCACTCTCTACGGCGACATCCGTCCCCATCTCCGACGAAATCCGTCTATCTCCATCTCTCAGAGCAACCCTCATAACTATTCACGGTCAGAAATGGAAAATCAACCACCGAGGGTTAGTTTTTTTAATCTCTTATTTTTATTTTGAAAATTTTGTATTATTATTAGATTTTTCTTATATTGATGATAAATTTACTGGTAATTTCAATATATATAGATTAACCATTTCACTGAGATTGCTTAGTAAATGCATTTGGTTGCTCCTAATACTGCTAAACTGTTTAGTCTTTAACCCTGTGAAATTAGTATTTGTCTTTGTTTTGTCTTTTTGTTGAAGAAACCATAAATCGCAACACCAAAATCGTAACGCGAAAATGAAAATCGCAACGCGATTTTAGTTTCGCGTTGCGATTTTCATTTTCGCGTTGCGAATTTAAGTTTCAGAAACTTCTTTTATTCTGCAAATTGAAACTTGAATGAATTGCATTACTTCAACCAAAAAACAAAGACAAATACTAACTTCACAGTGTTGCTAATTTAAGTTGCAAGAATAAACTACTACTCTTTATGTTGTCCTTGAACCTGCACTAAACCTATATGTTGTCCTTTTAAATGTTTATATAAGTGCTTACTTCTGAAATGTTTTATGGTGCATTTTGTGAACTATGATGGAATAATGACTTGGGTGAATACCGTGCTAGTTTGAAACATATTTGGCTTTGTTTTCACTGTTTAATATCATGTCTGTTTATAGTGTATAATTTGTAGTTTTTGGTATATCTAACTGTATGTTTACTATTTTTGTAGATTTTTTTTCGGCTGCATTGACCTTAAGGAATAAATTAAGCCTAGCCACTAAAATTGCGTCGACGCTTACACCTCTACAAAGAAAATTGTTTGAGGATACTTGCTTCGGGCCATGGCTGAAAGTGCAACATACGGGTGGAGATGCTATGTTGACACATTTATTTCTTCAGACCATGACTAACGATATACCCGAGGGGATACAACGTAGTGATGAGGAGATATGGTTTCATTTTCCTCTGGCACATACTTGTTTTGGGCGGGAGGAGTTTTACTTAATCACTGGTCTACGCTTCGGACACGATGATGCAGGTCGGTACACTTGTCATATCGCCCGCCCATCATGGTTATCTCGGGTCTGGAAAAGTTGAAGCCGAGTTTACACGTCGATGACTTGAAGAGATTATTTGATAAAGATGGTTTTACTCGGATGGATGACCTTGATGTTGTCCGAGTATGCCATTTATTACTTTTGCATACCGACTTTTTAGGCAAAAAGGGCAGACAACCTATCTCCGAGGACCTAATATTATTGGTAGAGGACCTAAATACATGGAACCTGTTTCCGTGGGGTTCATATCTATGGAAAGCTACGTGGAAGAAGTTGTCGTCTGCCTTTGAGGACCGAAAAAGTTTACGGGGCGATGGTTCTAAATACACTTTGACATGCTTTACTTGGGCCTTTAAGGTAAGAATTTCTATATAATGTTTCCAAAATTATAATTAATTATTTAATAATTACTAATGTTTGTGTATTATATTGTTTTGTAGATTTGGATATTTGAGGCTTTCCCCAGCATGCGGACATATGCGATAAAAAGATCAAATGATATCCCTAGGGCTATTAACTGGAAGAGGATCTGCATGTTAGATTGGGAAGATTTACTCCATATACGACGATGAATGATGTATGTTAACACACAAATAATACCATATATAAACAAGTTATTACTAGTACATGTTTAACTTTGTTTGAGCTTTTATATTGTTAGGAGGCCAACTATCCATTACAGAGGCTGACACCCATAGAAGCTGAGCTTGCCACTGATTGGTGGCAAGCTAGTAAGCGGTTTTTTGATGGGACGGATGATGAGCACCCCCCACTTCGAGAGCCATCACCTGATCGGGCCGATTGTACAACTCGATACCCGGAGCCATCACCTGATCGAACCTCTTCTCCACCTCCACCATCACCTATTCCATCACATCATCGAGCCTCTTCTCAACCATCACCTCATGATAGGCGACTGGAAAAGAGGCCACGACATTTATCTCCCTGTTCTCCACCTCCACAGGATGAGTTAGGGGAATTACGTGATGAGGTCGGTGCTTTACGTCATGAGGTCGGTACTTTACGTGAAGATAATGGTGCATGGTGTGATGAGGTTCAATCTTTACATGGTGAGGTGGATTTTTTACGCGATGACAATGGTGCGCTACGCGGTGAGGTATCTACTTTACGTGATGAAGTT